AGAATCGTCTTGTCAAACCGTCGACTTCACATTTGAGTAGAATTTCCTAATATTGATTTTTTAAAATTTGATATATTTTTCTACAGTTGTTTAGTTTTATCAAAAGAATTGGTTTAATAGTGTTTTTCTTTTATGTCAATAATCAGTGACAGGTAAACATAATAGAATATCGGAAATAGTAAATAAATCCAGAAATTACAGAAACTGCAGTAAAAACCGTTATCAAAGCACTTTCGAAAAATTGATAGGTTGCAAGTGTATACATATAAATTTCCACAGTAGACATAAAAGTCATCCAGTTTAGGGGCATTTTTTTCTTTATTTCTAAAAAAACTCAGCTAAATGGACAATAACAAATCAAATTAATCCTGTCCATTTTAATATACACGTAAAAGTACATCTGAATGCATGAATCTCACATCGATTATTATTATTCCTTTATTTTATATATTCATTTATTTATTCTTATTTTATCTATTTATTTATTCCAACTAGTCTATTAATGTAATTACATGTACAGAGCTAGTTCATAATGAAGTCTTTTGTGTCTAGTCACTGTTACCATTTGAATTTATTTTTCGTTCCATGCATCAAATACAATAGAGTACTAATGTATTTATAGGCCTAGCGCACCGTGAACAACGTTTCAGTGACGGGCTGAAATTCAGTACTTTTAATCTACAAATCAAATTAATTCTATAATTATGCATTGTTGAATAGAACAGCATGATTAAACGCTTGCTTTGGTAATAGAGAGCACTGTCATTTTGTATTTGTTTTATGAGTGTGAATTAAAGTTACATTGTGTAAATATAGGGATTACTTTCAGCATGAAAAAATGTACATAATCTCTCTTCGTGCGTGTGTTTGAATTCCTGCTAATGGGAAAATTTATATGGGCTGTATAGGTATGGCAAATGGGTTTGACAGCGTTGTTATTAACTTTGTGAAGAATTTTCTGTATACTTCGGAAGATTTCAAAACACATCGCGCTGCTTGGTTGAACGAATTTTGATGAATGACTTTTATTTTGGTCCAGTTGAATAACATTTTTATTATTCCAGTACATGTACAAAGTATATTTAAGGGATGGTAGAAGTTTAGCTCTTTGGCAATTTCAGGTACAATTTATTTTCAATTATTTTTCAACCTTTTTGTCGTAAAGGACAAAAGAAATGGAATTGAGCTGATTCTATTGACTAACGCTTAAATCTCCTTTTGTGTCATATTCTCTTTTTGAAAATGGCAGAGATCAAATAGAGAGCATATTAAAAAAAAAAAAAAGAAAACAAGAAAAAACAATATCGAAAGACTATATTTTATACTGCTTCCGTGCTTAACCTTTTCCCCTAATCATCCAGTGTTTTCGTTATGAGATTCATATATCATCGCTGAAAGATAATTACTGGACAACGCACAATTTTATCTACCAGAATTATTTTACTGTATTGTTCTTTTGCTCTTTTTTCGTCATTCCCCATGGCTATTATTGACTGACGTTCAAGACAAAATGGAAAATTATTTTAACTTCGAACGCAGAACAAAAATTCAGCAAGGAATACACCCTATCATATGTTTCAGCAGTTTAACGATAGAAATGGAAAGAACAGAGAAAGTTTACGTTCGAGTATTTTTACTAGATCGATAACAGTGACGTCAGGGTCGAGGTATCACCAGTTTATTCCAGTGTATTTGGTATTAAGCGCGTAGTCACCCTCTTCTTCTAGGGAATGAACTCTCTCGTCCCAGTTTGATGTAAAAAATGGGCACAGTCGTTTCTCTCCCCCCCCCACCCCCTCACCCATTGTCTCTTTCCTTTCTTTCATCCTCTCTCTCTCTTTACATGACATGCTCATAACTCATCCTCTCACATCATCACACAATCACACTACACATCATCATTCACGTCACTATCCTCACATCCATCACACTCTCTCACTACCTCTCTCTCATCTACCTCGCAAATCTTCTTTCCATCTCTAAGCACCACTTTAAATAAACTATATCATATTCTCTTTAACCGAAAGTTTCATTTCTACACATCTTTAACTCTACAAAAAAACAGAGCAGAAAGCAGAAAATACACAAAATACTCGTCAATTCCTCTATCACAATAGACCGAAAAGAAATCAGAGAAGGAATAAAAAACAAGGAATCACTCTAAATCAAAATCAGAAATAAAGAACAGGACACTTCTCTACAAATCATCAAATCATCAAATCATAACTCAGTCAACAACACCAGAAGTTCAAACAAGAAGAAAACTCAAAAATAGATACAGATGCAAAATACTCTAACTCACATACTACACCTAAACATCCTTTCCCACACTCTCTTTCCCTATTCCGCTCTCGTTCTATCTTACTTGCCATAACACCTGTCGGTATAACACTCTCATCTTTCCACATCTCTCTCTTCTCATCTTTCACCTCTCTCTCTCTCTTTCCTCTCTTGATAGCATCGCTTATTACTTTCGGCATTGTTGCTTCTTTTGTATTCGGGCTTCATTGTGTTCCTATTGTTATAACTCCTTTATATTCTCTTCTCATCTCTCTCTCATTCCGTGCGGTCTTCGTCTGTCCCATTCCTAATAACTATCTTCATCTCTCTCTTTCCTGATTCTCCTATTTACCATCTCAAAGACCTCCTCAAACTATGTACTCATCAAAAACTTCGGATTCCAGTTCCTTTTCGCGGGCCAGAGTTTCAGGTGATATAAAACGATGATAGTCACCTTCCGTTCCCTCTGCTTTTCGTCTTCTTCTTTTTCTTTGCTTCTTCTCTTCCTCCTCTCTTGCCCACTTTTCCCCACTTCGGTACACGGTTACTCTCACATCGTTGCTTTTCCGTCTTTTCTCTCTTTTATATCTTTGCTTCTCTTCGGATCATTTTTTTATTTCACCTTTTTCTTAATTCTCTCATCTCTCCTCGTTCTTCTTTCCCTTCTCTTTTCCGTCATATTTCTCCTCTCTCTCCTTTTTCTCCTTCTTGATTCTTTCTCTCTCATCTTTCATTTCCCTTCTTTCTCTCTCCTCTTGTCGTTGTTCGCTTTTACCCGCGCTTTCCTCGTCTTTGTAATGCCATCCCTCTCTTCACTTCGCATCATAATATTCTTCCCTTTCTTTCTCTTTTCTCCCTTCTCTCTCTCCTTCTTTTCATTCTTTTTTTCCCTCTCTATCCTTTTTTCCTTGTCCTCCCCCCGCCTATTCTTTTTTCTCTTTATCTTCTATTACTCGTTCTTCACTTTCTCTCTTCTTTTCTCTCTCCTCCTCTCTCCTTTTCCTTCTCATTAAGTCCTCTCAATTCCCTCTCCATTCCTTTTCTCTGCTATTTCACCCCTTCTTCCCTCCCGTCCCTTTTCCTTCTCCCTTTCCTCATCTCCTCTTCTTTAACTGTCTAACAATCCCAGATCAAACCCATATAAACATTTAGTTTTCATCCATACCCACCACATACTCACCATACATCTCTCCCACATACTTACTCATCAAGCCGTCTCATCTCTCTCCTCTGCCGTCCGAGTCTCCTAATGCAAAAGGTGGTCTTTAAATTTAAATACACCATTGTGATATCAAGTCCCCTCGTTATGCCAACCATAAGAATGAATCCTGGAAATTACCTCATACTACAAAATCTGTAAAAGTCTCTCTCTCTCTCACTCTCTTCAGTGTCAATTGATACTTCTCTCTCTTTCTCCTCTGTCTAACATACCACTCACCTCTCTCCTCTCCTCCCTCTCTCTCCTCTCCTCCTTTCTCGTCTCATCTCTCCTCTCTCTCCTCCTCCCCTCCCCCCTTCCGTCCTCTCGCTCTCTCTCTTCTCTCTCTCTCATCATTCTCTCTCTTCTCCCATCACACCTCTCATTCCCTCAACATTATCAATAAACATTCTCATTTACATATAACTTTCTTCATTTTTTACCTTCTTTCACTTATACACTCTCCCACCAACATAATACCCTTATTTTTTCTTTTCAAATTCTTTAAATAAACTCACATCAATTAATAAATTAATTTTTTCTCTTCCTTATTTTTACTTATAGTATGGAATTGGGAAGAAATGAAACCGTTTCCTTTCGATCTCAGTGTTATTGGGCAAAAAGGATGATGTATAGCCATGTCTCTCCTGAAGGTACAGGTGGTGTTTGAATGGTCCTGTGTGAAATTCATATTGCATTGTATAAGAGTAAGGAATGTGGAGAGCGAAGAGAAAGGGAGGAAAGGAGAGACAGAGAGACAAAGACAGATGCAGAGACAGAAAGGACAAAAGAAGACGGTAAAGAGAGAAAGAGAGGTGAAATAGTAGAAGAGTGTGGGAAATGAATAGACGGGAAGACAGAAGAAATGGAGAGGGTAATATCGGGAGGTAGAAAGTAGAATAACCGTTTCCTTCGACACAGTGTTATTGGCAAAGAATGTATATCCCTGTTTCTGGTACAAGTGGAGGTACTTGTATGTGTGAAATTCATATTGACAATATTTGTTCCCTCGTATAAAGAGGAGAAATGGAGAGAGAGAGGAGGGAGGAACAGACAGACAGACAGACTAAGACAAATACAGAGATTGAGACAGAGACAAAAAAGACGGAAAAGAGAGAGTAAGAGTGGAAAATGGATAGACGGGAAGACAACAGAAAGGGAGAGGATAAAATCGGGAGGTAGAACGTACAGTTCCTCCATAAGTGGATAATAGCCAGTTAGGTTAAGCATCACGTTGGGAGACTTAAAGTTTACGTAAAGATAAACTGCTCTCAGGATTTTTTTTACCTGTAGAGTTTTATCATTTGTAATGTATGAACAGTTTACATGAAAAATCCAAAGCAAAATACCGATTGATATATGTCTTCGAAAGCAGTTTGTGCTGTAATTCAGATTTCAGTATAGAATGAGGCATCAGAATATGTCTACCTGTCTACCCATCCATGAATCTATCTAACTGTATATGTAAATAAAAGGCTGACATCCCTTTTATCCCTTCCCCATCGACCTGCAGCCTTCTTTC